TGAAGTAGTTTAAGTCTTTGGTTCTTTTAATTGTGATGATTTTGGCTCACATTTAACAAAAACCCACCAATTCACTATCTCAACAAATTAGAATACTTCGTAAGACCAATAAAAAAAACATTTTTAGTGAATTGTTGGCCTTCTGGAAAGTATGTTCATTTACTGTACATGTACTCAATACTTGGTAGTATGTGAAGGGTGTCGATGATTGTCTTCTGGACAACTGTCAGATCAGCAGTCTTCCCCATGATTGTGTAGCCTAGTGAACCAAACTGAGAGACCATTTTGAAGGCTCAGGAAACCTTTGCAGGTGTTTTGAGTTGATTAGCTGATTGGCATGTCACCATATTCTAATTTGTTGAGATAGTGAATTGGTGGGTTTTTGTTTAATGTGAGCCAAAATCATCACAATTAAAAGAACCAAAGACTTAAACTACTTCAGTCTGTGTGCATTGAATTTATTTAATACACGAGTTTCACAATTTGAGTTGAATTACTGAAATAAATGAACTTTTCCACGACATTCTAATTTATTGAGATGCACCTGTAGTTTGTTGGTTTTGGCTGCTTCCAGTGGATCAGTCAGACTTGTACGAACTTAAACATATCAACATAAAAGCCCACAGCTAAGACACAATATATGTGAAATATATACAGTGGTGCTTGAAAGTTTATGAACCCTTTAAAATTTTCTACATTTTTGCATAAATATGACCCAAAAGATCATCAGATTTTCACGCAAATCCTGAAAGTTGAAAAAGAGAACCCAATCAAACAATTGAGACAAAAAATATTTACTTTGTCATTTATTTTTTTCTGGAAAATTATCCAATATTACATATCTGTGAGTGGCAAAAGTATGTGAATCTCTAGGATTAGCAGTAATTTGAAGGTGAAATTAGAGTCCATCTGTTCAGAGGTGTTTTCAATCAAAGGGATGACTATCAGTGCGTGCCCTGTTTTATTTTATGAACAGGGATCTATCAAAGTCTGATCATGTTTGTGGAAGTGTATCATGGCACAAACAAAAGAGTTGCTATTGCTCATCAGGCTGGAAAAGGTTACAAAACTAATTAACATTAGCTAAGATTAATAAATGCTGTAGAAGTATTGTTCACGCTTAGTTCATGTTAACTAAAGTAGTTAACTAATGTAAACTAATGAACCTTATTGTAAAGTGTTACCCTTTTTGCCTATGGTATTATCATCTCACAAACTACAGAATGAGCACCCCCTGGCGGCTGAGGGCTTTTCCAGCTGCAAATATTAGCTTTCCCATTGAGGTAAGGTAAGGACCAAGTCCCTTTAGCTTCAGTAAGTGACAAGCGAAATCTACAGTAACTCTTTACGCATAAATAATAATAATAATAATAAAGTCACTATATAGAGACTGTGGAAAAAGCTGCACCTTCCATGCGGACTCGTAATCACCAACCTATTGTCTACTTTTCTTGGACTTCAGTTACTCGTGTGCACAAAGGAACAGCCTTGTGTTTACCAGTTTTTGCGCTTTACAGACCAGGTTTGACAGTTCAACATTTGTCAAGTAAAGCAGAGAAGACATCACTCTGAAAAAAAAAAAAAAAAAAACTCACACCAGACGTCTGTTATCAGACAGTTTGCTGTAAGTCACCAGTGCACAGAATCAAATGAGGCGCAGTGTATTAAAGGATCAGCTTTAATCTGATTTATTCTATTATTTATTTTTTTCCCACATCGCTCTACCATCAGTTTTGCAGCGACCAAATACAACGTTATAGAGTGCTTATTCATCAAAAAAGTCCAATATTTCTGTTGTTGTAAAAGGGACAGTTCACCCAAAAAGGGAA